AGATCTCACGGAGCTCGTATCGAATCCCTTCTATCCACAATATTTGCCTGATTACTTTCACCTGAAAATGGGCCTCATTGTTTTTCTTCAGGACAGCTTGAGTGATTTGTGCATGTGGGGACACGATTGGTGGAGGTTGATCCAGCCCTGCACCTGCTGAGAAAGATGGCAAACTTGCTTGTGCAGAGATAACGAGTGGGAAAATGTCTTCTTTCCTTGAGGGTTTTGAAAGAAGACCCAATTCAAAGAAACCAAGGTCAATTCCAGTTCCTGAGGGCTGACAGAATTTCTGAGCCAAGCCTTTCTGGAATGGAATTGTCTTAGGCATATATATTTCAGGATACAGTGGCATAAACGTGCAGTTGGGTCCTTCCTTGGCAAAGTAAAATATGGTGATACTGTCACCAAGACGAGAGGAAAACTGTTACATATTTGGAGTATTAACATGTCTAACAACAGATAAGTCTGAAGCTTAGGCAATGGAAAATTAACAAGCCTTTAGAACAAATCTTATAATCCCAGCAAAAGAGTAGAAAGATATGATTAAGAACAAACTCATATCTGTTTTATCCAAGTTCAATCATTCCTCAAACACTCTTGGTTTGAAAGCAGAAAATGAACCCAATTCAGACAGTTCAGTTCATTCCTGACGACTTAAATAGAAGTAGAAGTTGCTTAGCACTAATCCATCAGTGCAATATTAACAGTTTGCAGTCCAACAACTTGTAATACCAGTCCATCATAGGCACTTCATAGAAAGATTAAAGTTCACAACACAATCAAAAAAGGGGCAAAAATCACATGGAAAGAATAATTTGAAGAAGGCACTGGGTGTGCAGCCAACTGTACATATGATCTGTTCCGTTAGGCAGACAAGATTAATAACCAACTCAAAACTCAATGACAAATGGATGCAATTTAGCAAACATATAAATAGACTATATATACCGGGTAAATTTTCCCATAAATTTTTTCTGAGTATTACTGATAATCGTAAGTGAAAAACAACAAAAGGTAATCTTCTGACTCTTCTTCTAGTTATAAGAACATGGATCATATACTTGAAGCTTAGAAATCAGACAAGATATCATTTCAGTTCCTCATGTAATATCTCAATGATCTACAATACAACTAGTACCATATGCAATCTTCCCTGTAAAGGAAACTACAAGGTGTCCCTACAACATCAAGGTAGCCAGCTTCTTCGGCCATACCTTGCTTGGCCTTTAGGCTACAGATCAAATAATCATCTTCCTTGGCCCAAGTCCCACGAATTGTCACTCTCCCCCACCCCAACTCTAAGCTTTGCAAAGGGAATTAAGGGCACTTGAATTTAAACAAACATCATTCAAGCATATAAAGAAATTGTTATGCATAAATAGAAAAACTATCTAAGTGCTAAGACAAAAAAAAAAAACAAAAAATCACCTTCTATCAAGACAGCTCGGTTTTTTTTCCAGCTAATTAAGTCATCTCACGGGGTGCCCTGCAGTTCTCTTTGCCATAGAATGCTGTTTGTGCCTAACTCGTACATTAGTATGAACAATCAAAGGTGCATCCGCGTTGATACCTTTTTCGACAGATCTTAAAATATAAGATCGATACCTATCAAGTACAGTTTAATGTTCTTTACAGTGTCTCCCTTTCTTAAAGAAGCTTGAGAAGTGAAAAAGAGGGTTGGAATCATTATCATCAAAACAAGTATGTCACCTCTATGAATTCCTCACTTTCAAGGAAAAAAAACTTAGCATCATTCCCAGGGACAATATGATGAAACACTGGAACTGATAGAAACATAATTAATCTGCCAGAACACAATACACCAAATCCGTAAGGCATAAGAAACTCTAGAAGGAAATGAAATCATCTAAAACCTCATTGTTTCTTTTCTAACTTAACTTGTCAAAAACTTTGTTAAATAGTCAATCCTTAATGTATTCCTTTCCAACTGATTGCCGTTTAAATTTGTCTTTGCTCCCAATTTTCTAATCCTTGTTATTCAACTTGACATGACCTCCAACCCTCCAATATATTAACTCAATCCCTTGTGAAAGCAATGCTTTTGAATATGATCAGATTGAACTTCTAGACCACTTGCAACAAGACAGCATTAATTTGCTTGATCACCATAGCCAACATAAATTCATAAATCAAATGTAAATCAATGTATAGCACAAAGCAAACAGAAATCATGTAGAATCAAAATCCATATATATATATATATATATATTAAATATATATATAGATAAAACAGAAATCATCAACACCCCGTCAATGAAATCGAATATAGTTATCCAATGAATTATGAAGGCATACTTCCATACAGTATGGCAAAGCTGCAAAAGTTTTACCTGCCATCAACAAGAGCATCGAAAGTGAAAGAAACCAAGTGAGAATCCAGGCTGTTGTCATCAAGGAAAAGTCTTTATACTGTCTTGTGAATATTGACATCGTTCTTGATCTTCTTGGCACTTCGTGATCAACATAAGAGGTGGGCCCAAGGAAAAGAATGTTGGAGCCATCAGGTGAAGAAGAGAAGCAGGAGGAGGAGGAGGGTGGTAATGGTTTGGTGAACTGGATGAGGAGAAGGGTGGGTGCATTGGCTGCAAAACATAACTACTTGCGTGCGGTTGGCTTGACAAAGCAGCGGCAGAAGAAGGAGAAGAAGGAGTTGGATGGTGTGAGTAGAACCGCATTGAAGTTGGTATTGTAGTAGTTGAATTATTGTTAGTATCATTGGCGGCGGCTGCTCCTGTTGATGGAGAAGAAGACGAAGATGATGATGATGGAATAAGAGAAGGAATCCGGGTTTGGGTTTGACGGGTGACGGGTTCTTCTTAGTTTGCTTAAATCATGTCCCATGGCGGAGGAAGAGGGTTTTGGCTTGGTTGAGTTTCGAAGTTGTAAGACACGATTGAAGTGTTATATGGTATTCAGACTTGGGAGGAAGAATAATCAACGACCAAATCAAATCACTTTTCTTTATCTCTTTTATTTTCCCCTTTAAATTAAAATATTTATTTAAGTTTTATTTTTCCAGGAATAATTATTAATAAATAAATAAATAAATGAAAAGGGGAAAGGGTTGTGATTCGGGGGATTTGAGAGATTTGGTCAAGAGAGCAGACAAAGGGAAAGGAATGAAATAAATAAGGGAATTTCCATTAAAATTGTTGGACAATCAAAGTAATATATTCTTTTATCTATAATATATATATAAAATATTAATTAACAAAAATAGATGTATTTATTCATTATATATTATTTTAAATATTGATGAAATTATTTAATTTGTAAATAAAAAATCTAATGGTAAGTTTCATTAAACTTTTTTTCTTAATTCTAATAATATTAAATTATTGATAAATTAATATTATAAAATTCAATATATAATTAGATAATTAAAATATTATGGATCCTACATCAATAAGAAATGAAGTGAGTCTTAATTTTTATATGGATCTTCCATCACTTTTTTTCTAGAGTTTAATGCTATACGATATTGGATTTAAGTTTCGATCCGTGGCATTTAGTATCAAAATAAACTTGTAAACTTGAATCTTCACAGATGTGAGTAAACTCGAATCTTTACTAATAGATGTGAATAGACTCGGATCTTTACTAATGTGGTCCTCATGAAAGATACAATGAGCTAATTCTAACTAGCGTAATAGTTCCTCTATACAAAATTAGTTGCCTTGTAACATTTGATATCAAAGTAAGTCAAAATTTTCATAGATGTGACCAGACTTGGATCAAGTCTTCATTGATGTGGATACTTATCAAAGACACAAAGATCAAGGTAAACCTAAATTAATGTAAAAATCTCTATTTTTTATGATTAAAGAGCCACTACAATGAAAGATACAAAGTTGAAGTGGATTTAGACTAATGTAAGAGTCTCTCTATACGAGATTGGATTTAAATTTTGGTTTCTGACATTTGGTATCAAAATAAACTTGAATCTTTTAAGGATGTGAGTAGACTCCAATCGTCATTGATGTGGATCCCCATGAGAGATATAATTCTAACCAGCATAATAGCCCCTCTATACAAAATTAGGTTTAAGTTTTGCCTTGTAACATTTAATATCAAAGTAAGTCAAAATTTTCATAGATGTGACCAGACTTGGATCTTCACTGGTGTGGATCCTTATCAAAGATACAAAGATCAAGGTAAACCTAAATTAATGTAAAAATCCCTATCTTCTATGATTAAAGAGCCACTACAATGAAAGATACAAGGTTGAAGTGGATTTAGACTAATGTAAGAGTCTCTCTACATGAGATTGGATTTAAATTTTGGTTTTTGACGTTTGGTATCAAAATAAACCTGAATCCTTTAAAGATGTGAGTAGACTCCAATCGTCATTGATATGGATCTTCATGAAAGATATAAAGATTGAGATAAATCTGAACCAGTGTAAGAGTCTCTCTTTTTTACGATTAAAGAGTAAATGCAACTAGAGTGTTGCACAATTGAATGAGGTACCTAAATCAGTAGGTTTGGGTATATTCCTCTACTATCTCTTTTAAGTTGAGAATGTGGGTTTGTGATTCATAAGTTTATTTTAACTCTATTTTTAATGTTTAAGATCATAAAAGGTTGGGCTTAAGTTCTAACCTATGATACAAAATATTTAATTTTTTTAATTTATAATTATATAAGTATAAATATTAGTAAAATTTTTTATTAACAAAAAATAGATATAATTGTTCATCATATATATTTTTAAATTACTATTTTTTATATTTTTTATTATATATTAGTAAAATGTATCCTCTTTATAAATAAAAATTTTAATTTCAACTCTCATTAAAAATGATTTTTTAATTATTAAATAATTTTAAATAAAAATTATAAAATTTAATTGGGTTCAAACTTGACCTGTTGGGCTTCTACCGAATCCACCGAATCCGCTGAAGTCAGCCCAATATTCAATCAATACCAAGTCCGACCTCTCGTTCGCCATTTTTTTTTCTTTTTCTTTAATTCTTTAATTTTTAATTTTTGAAGCTTTAAAGTAACACATCCATGAAAACCATTCTCCCAAAATCCAGGTCTTGATATGAGAAATTGAGTAGTTTTAAGTATTAGATGTAACAAAACTGGCGGAAAATATAAGTAGCTGATACCATAAAACATCGGCAATGTCCCAACGATAAGACCGATCGACGAAGAATCCGGTGCGAGTGAACCTTGGCTACGAGGAGAATCAAGGGGAGGCCAAGCGGCTGCTACTCTTACGATTTTCAGGGTAAAGTGCGATTTTGATTTTTCTTGTTTTGCTCTTTTGGGATTAGTTTGTTGTACTATGTTAAATTTCGAGTGTTGGAAAAAGAAAAGCTAAATCACTTCAAATTTGTTGAAAATTTGCAATATTTTGCTCTTTGAACCTTTATTGCATCTTAGTAAACAAGAAATTATCTAATTTATTGAAAAAATGGATTTAATTGGGAATTTCAGTTGCATCAGAATGCTGTAGAAGGATAGCGTAATTATACCCCTTAAATTAAAAAAAGAAGAAGATTTGTTCGTTGGGATTATTTAATTTTCTTTTCTATACATTTGAATTTCACAAAATTGGAAAAATATGATCTTATCCTGCTTGAAAAATATTCCAGACGAATTTATTTTTGCTGATTTCTTGAACAAATGTTTAGTTCTTTAGGCTAAATGTACTTATTGATGATGTTGGGTGATTACAGAATTTATGTACAGTGAGAAATATAGTTTTTTCTTTTTCTTTTTAGTGAGAAATATTGCTGATTTTGCAAAATTTTTGTTTTTGGTTTTCTTGAAGAAAAAATTGGTTTTTAGCCTGAATATGGTTGTTTATGATCTGGGTTAATCTCAGATTTCCTGTATATTGTGGAATCGTAGGTGATTCAGCAGAGTGTTTATTGTTGATTTTCTTAAGAAAGTTTGGTTTTTTGGCTTTGAATATGGTTATTTATGATGTGGGTCAATAAAAGATTTTGTGTATGTTGTGGGAACTGTAGGTGATTATAAATGGGAGAGGCCGAGGACAGTGTGAAGCCAAAGAGAGTGGTTTTTGTGACTGTGGGAACAACATGTTTTGATGTGCTTGTTAAAGTGGTGGATTCTCAGAAAGTTAAGGATGAGTTGTTGAGAAGAGGATATACTCACCTTCTCATTCAAATGGGTCGAGGATCATATCTTCCTGAAAAGGTATATAAGAACTTTAGGTGACTAGTGGGTAGCTCTTCATTTTAACTTGTATAAGATAGTGATCAGTACTCTTTAATGGGAAAAAAAGAAGTGATTTTTGTAATTGCTTTGATCAAATTTGTGCTATGGGTGAGATTTAGGGATATGAGTTCAAAGGAGAGAATACATCTAGGGAAGTATCAAAATCTTCCAACAGGATTCTATGTTAAGGAATTCACACTTTTGTTGATAGGCCTGCTGGCAAATATGAATGGCTCAAAAATGTAATACTAAAAATGGAGTTTTACTTCTTTAGATATCCAAATTAATCAATGCAACTACTTTTTTCTGAACAGAAGATTGCTTTATCTTCTTGTATTCTTATTTGTGTGATTTTCCTGAGGCTTTTTTTTTTTTTTTAATGCAGTCTATTGGTGATGATGGATCTTTGGCTGTAGACTACTTCACATTTTCATCAAGCATTGCTGACCATCTGAGATCAGCATCTCTTGTAATCAGTCATGCAGGTGGCTCTTGATTTTTTTTTCTTTCACGCTGTTATTATCCTTCTTGGTCAAAAGTTGTATATCACTCTCATCTTTGTTTATTTTTACCGTAAATATTGAGCATGCTTCTTGGTTGTACAAGATCTGTAGAATTGTGTATTCCTTCAGCAAAAAGAATATCTGAGGATTTGGCATATTGCCAGGATCATATTATCATGTTCTTTGCATCGGCTAGATTGACCATGTATGGTTAATTGAGTTGGTGAACATATTTACTAGGATCTGATAATAGCCTAACTCCTTGAGAGAATTCAAGTAAATCTGTAAATACACTACCATCGAACCTGTTTGTCTCTCAGATTTGATCCAAAGATGCAACACACCATTGACATGGCACAATCTTGAATTTGTAACCTAAAGATTTGTTTCATTATTCTTAAATCCCATTTTTTGGTTGTCATTGAATAGTTCTGTGATAGTTGTATATATTTAATTCTATAACTTCTCAAAAAATTGATGAGGAACTGTTTCCAACTGTTGTGTAGGTTCTGGGAGCATATTTGAGACCCTGCGGCTTGGCAAACCTCTAATTGTGGTGGTCAATGAAGATTTGATGGATAATCATCAGAGTGAACTAGCAGAAGAACTGGCAGAGAGAAAACATTTATATTGTGCTCGTCCTCAGACACTTCATCAAACTATAGCCAGTATGGATTTGGAGTCTCTCCTTCCATACTCTCCAGGAGATGCCACACCAGTGGCCAAACTCATAAATAGGTTTCTTGGTTTTCCAGAAGATTGATGAGAGTGTATAGAATAAAACTTTCATTCAGAAAGTTAGCAAGCCTAGGGGAAACTTCTTGTCTGTACTTTATGTTCCAAAAAATGCAGTAATAGGCATTTGGATGTTCCATTGAATATATCCAATGGGCTTTAACTGAATATTTATATTGCAAATTGTTTCCCCTGGCAGAATAGTGCCTCTTGAGTTTGCATAGATGTCATATATTCTTACAAATTGTCAGCCGCGTGACAGATAGTCTAGAAACATGTACTGTTATATTAACCTTTGGAAAGTGGAAATCTTCTGGCCTTTTGTGTTAAAAGGTAGTGGTTTTGGTTGATGTCATGGTTTGGCTTTGGCTTAACAGCAGGTGATAATTAGTGTATGAATAAGTCGTGTCCTTCGTTCGTCAGGTATAGCACAGTGCAAATGCATGAAAAGTGCGATACATCTGCAAATGTTTGATCATAATTAGTAAGTAGTTACTATTTGATTGTATTTGTCAGTGAAACAGTTGATGCAAAAATCAAGCAAGGGTCACATGATTTGCAGGGTTTGACGTCATTCACATCTGAAAGAGAGCTTTAGGTTGAGCTTGCAATGCTGTAGTATCTTGTTTTCATTAGTCTGGACTTGGTCCTACTTGAAATTTGATTCTTTCCAGCAGCGGCTATTAGTACGAAAACGTGGCAGCCACATGACTTCTGTTACTTTTCGATGACGATGACCATCTCTCTGACTCAAGAGAGGAAGGACTCAGGTCAGAGAGAGAGATAACAGGGCCTACCATTGCAGATAGTGATTTTCTTCTGTTTATAGTGATATTTCCTGATTTTTGCATGGCAAGGTTGGTGCTTGAACCATTGCTTGTATCATCAAGGTTTCCATCCATGGCTAGAACTTTACACAAGAACCAAAGCAGGATTATTCTACAGGATAATTAACGTTTGAAACATTTTCAAAAGTATTTTTCCCCACAGGACCCGCTGATTTCGGAGCTTATGTTGGAAATTTTAACTGCTGTTTTGTCCCATGCGACAATAATTATGGAATTTGAGTAATGCAAACTGGATTCTGTTATCTGATGACCCTTCTCTTCTGTGCTTATGGGATAATCCAGAGTCCTTTTCAGGACAATGCTGAATTGGCATTGGAGACTCTGAAAGTCAAGCAAGTAGATGAGCTGTTGCATGGTAATCTTAGCATTTCACATGCAAAACATACGAAATAATATCCATTTAAGAACTGTTTAAGATAGTCACGTATGTCATGATTATTCAATACTAACTTTCAGTACCACATAATGCATGTAGAGAATTGAGATTGAAATCATGAACCTGTGGAAGCTAGAGAACTCTCGTGATTGACACCGAGCCTCCATAGTTTACTATAATCCTTCATCTCATGTCTACAAATTATAGTTTTTTTTCCCTGGACTGTTCGATGATGGAATCCTGGTTTCTCTGAATTCTATGCAGCCATTGCGGATTTGGTTCGGTGTTTTTGTGTGCTCTGGGGAGCAGCACATGTGAGTCTGTGACAAGTCCATCAAAGAGAAAATCTCACTCTCTCTCTCTCTTTCCTCTTCTCTAGGCAATAAGGTTTACTGTATTAGACAAAAACAATTTGGGAACTTGCTATTATCTATGTTTTTTGTATCAACTTCCTTCTACAGTTCCCCAGGATAAAAAAAAAACCCTATGACCAAGATGGCCAACACTTCCATTTCAGATTCCTAGTAAGAAGTTTGCTGAGCTCTGTCCACTCTGACTGGACCATTCTGGTAAGACAGCTCAGTTAATTTTCCTACCCATGGGTCAGGCTACAATTTGATTGGTGGTGGTGATAAACTCCACCCTATCCTCTCTATCCTTCTTGAGGGACAACAAGTCATTTTCCAAACTTATCATAAACCACCCAAAGATTAGAATTGATACAATTTTTGCACATTATACACTCATGGTATTTTTTTGGTCTGCAGGGTAAATGAGAATAGAAATTCGTTGTACTCCTTTAGTGCCGAACTTGGTGTTTACAGGTAAGCAAGATTTATGTATTAAAACTTTTATTTGATAACGTAAATATAGATACGCGACGTAAAAATATGAAAAGGAATATCAAATAAAAGTAGAAGATATTTATTTGTTAAATATAATATTTTGTTTGAACTGGGATTTAAGTGCTGGAAATGGATCCATTATTCAAACTTTTATGTGAGTTTTGTTCTTATATTTTGTGACTTGGAAGGTTCATCCGGGAAAGCGTTGTGTGGGTCCTGAGATAAGGACATGGATGACACAAATTGAGCAAAATACAGGTCGATTATTAGCAAATGATTTGGATATAAGTAATTGATGTGAAATGGTGGCAAAAGCTTCCAATCTTTTCTGATACAAGGACAACGACCATTCGTTAGAAAATTACAAACGAATGGACGAATGAAGTACATAAGACACTTGGTTTATCACGAGGGACAGACAGAAGGGAGCTAGTTTTCTTTTGTGGCCATACAGGTAAAGTGCCCTCCTAGGAAGGAAACTCAACCTCCCCACCCCTACACATTTCTTCTCCAAAACCTTACCTTACCCTTCCTACCTCTCTCTCTCGCTTCATCTTCCTCTTTCCTTTTCATCATTCAACTTTTTTTGTTGTTTGCTACATTGCTTTTTCTGTCCATGGAAGATAGCAACATTGCTGCTACACCACCTGCAACGCCACCAGGGCCTAGTATTGCTAAAAACCATACTCATCACAATCACCATCGTTTCCATTCTAAATCACAAAACCATCAACATGGCACCAACCTTTCCTTAAACTTCATCGTTATAATCATCATATCCATCATCTCAATCATTGTAGTTTTTGCAATATTTCTAATCATAGCAATGCTCCGGAGACTTAAGTCTGTCAGAAAACTTGGGAGTTGCAAAGAAAGTGGCAGCCTCAACAACGCAAGCAGGAGGTTCATTGCTCATAATTCTATAGACTTCAATTCTAGTCCAGGTAAGTATCCATTTTCGAAACATGATTTTTCATATTCAACACTCATAGTACAGTTCATTAGTACCATCTCTTAGAAAACTGAACATGGTTCTTTACCTGTCATCTCACTTTAAAGTTTTCAAACGGGTTTTTCTGTTCTTCCTATGAATGAAAATAGATAAAATTGTTGAACATACCCTTAAGGTGATTTGGTATATTGAAATGGATTTTATAACAACCTTTGGACTCAAACTTGGCATCTGTAACATCATTAGCAGATCTTTTTCCTGTTCTTATCCTTCTACTTCTTCTAATTATTATTATTATGATTATTTTTTGCTTATTGTGGAATTTATATAAACTTTGATCTTTTTGGATGCCTGAAACTGGAGCAGATGTGAAGGCAAGGTGTCTATATGGAGAAAATATAGGGCATACGCCTCCAAGTAGATATAGAGGGGTCCAGGTTTTCACATACAAAGAGCTGGAATTGGCAACTGATAACTTCAGTGAGGCAAATGTTATAGGCAGTGGAGGGTTTGGTGTGGTGTATAAAGGAACCCTTGCTAATGGTACTGTGGCAGCAATTAAGAGGCTGCAGAGAGATGGAAAGCGAGAGGAGCATGCTTTCAGGATGGAGGTGAATGATTTCATTTATTAGCATTGTTCCCAGCTTGTTTCCTTTCATTGGTGTCTTTCTGGTTTTCTGTTTTTTCTTGTTTATAGTTTTCTGCTTTGAGTCAGTTCTAATGATGCAGCCTTGAAAAAAGCTTATTGTTTCTGGTTTTTAAAGTCAACACATTTAATTCTTAAGTTAAATTTCAGATATCTAAGCATAAAGTCAACACTCTTATACTGTCATATGCATAGAAATTTTCAGCCATCTTTCATTAAAATGCTCAAACTTGCAAGTTCTATTCAATCCTTGCACATGGGTTGAAATATAGTATCACACTTTTTCTGCAGGTGGATCTACTAAGCCGCTTCAACTCTCCTTACTTAGTGGAGCTACTAGGCTACTGTGCTGACCAGCACCATAGGCTTCTAATATTTCAATTCATGCCCAATGGTACCCTCCAACAGCATCTTCATCATCCCAGCAGTCAATATAGGCCATTGGATTGGGGAACCCGGTTAAGGATAGCCCTTGACTGTGCTAGGGCCCTTGAGTTCCTCCATGAGCATGCTGTGCCTACTGTTATCCACCGTGGCTTTAAGTGCACCAATATATTACTAGATCAGAACCTCCGAGCCAAGGTGTCTGATTTCGGGTTGGCCAAAATGGGCTCAGACAAGACCAACAGTCAGATTTCGACACGTGTGTTGGGGACCACTGGATATCTAGCTCCAGAGTGAGTGCTCCATCATGTGTCATGCTTATGCATCTCTATTTCATTATCAGATTATTACTGCCATACTGATGAAGATACAATCTTATGCACAACTTTGCACATGGGCATCTACCAAGGTCCTTGTTAGGCAGCTGTCATTTTCTTATTTAATGAAGATTGTTTAGGGAAGAGAAAAAACCCATACCCTTAGACCAGTTAAATGACTTTCCAGGAACAATATTCAAAATCCAAAACGTTCATAAGATTTTGGTTGTATTGGCAATACTTAACTGCATTCAATTCTAGTGAAAAATGTATAGCATTGGCAAGAATAACTAAGCTGTTTCATGAGTTTTTGCGCTGCAGATATGCCTCAACAGGCAAACTTACCACAAAATCAGATGTGTACAGCTATGGTGTGGTGCTTTTACAGCTTTTGACAGGCCGTGTGCCAGTTGATATCAAGAGGCCTCCTGGAGAACATGTCCTTGTTTCATGGGTTAGTGGCCAAAAGCCATCATTCTCTTTCCTAGATTCCAGAAGTAAGCTATACAGGCAGTAATAAAGCTTTGATCTTATTAACATCTTAAGAGCTTTAGGAAAAAGCTTAACCATGTTACTTCTTTCAAATTGAATTTATAACTGCAATGTTCAGAGACAACTAGAGGCACTACATAATTGGTTTTATGAATATTACCACAGTCAATAAAATTGACTTGATCCCTCTGATTTCAATGTCATGAATAGGTTAAAGATTGTTAAATAATGTTCCAAAGTTTGATAATTTAACAGGCACTTCCGAGGTTAACTAACAGAGATAAAGTAGCTGAAATGGTTGATCCAGCTATACAAGGACAGTATTCAAAGAAGGATCTAATTCAGGTGAAGTTTGCTTCTATGAAATTAGTCTTGTGCTTGTCACATTTATCAAATGAACAGCCTCACCGGGCTGGTGACTAACCTTGTATTTATCTCCCCATATTTTGTTCCTCAGGTAGCTGCTATTGCTGCAATGTGTGTGCAACCAGAAGCTGATTATCGACCTTTAATGGTAGATGTTGTACAGTCAATGATCCCTTTAGTTAAAAATTGCAATTCCATTAATTCCCTTGGTCCCTCTAGATTTTATCGTCAAACCTCTACTCCCAAGTATTAGTGCCTTTGAGACTCGAAGAATCAAATAATTTTTTGCCTGTTCTTCTGGTTGCATAAAGAAGCAAAAGCATCGACAACGTACTAAACAGCCTTAGCAACTGCAGTTGCTTTCAGTTCTTGGAGCCTTCATTGAAGCTTGCCTAAGAAGTAGAAGCATGTCACATCAGGTGATACTTCTGCACTCGAATCAGAAGGAAGTGATTTTCCAATGAGCCATAGACAAGCTTCTTTACATTCATATTCTTGTAGACCGATATAAAATTTGTTATAAAAAAGGATTAATAAAGGAAATATTATTTTCTTTTTCAGAAATGAAAATTTTGCCTTGCAATTTTGTAACTGTTTATAATTTCTTAAGGTGCAAGTAGATTTGAATGGAAAATTTCTGGTATTCAAGAGTATCAGCATTCTGCAATTGAAAAAAAGGGCAGGGAACTTTGGGAGTCGTGACATGGACTTTAGAATCAACCTAGCTTGATCAATGCCTATATCACTAGGTTGATCAATGCCTTGTTGGCTCCACATGAAAGCTGGAATCTTCGGACAGTACACTTTGTCTGATGCTGTGCAACTACTTGTATGTCTTTTTTGTTCTTCTGGATATAAGGGCCAGAGAGAATTACTTCTTCTAATCCTAGATATGCCCAGTGGAGGTATAGGAATATGAATTCCATCTTCCTTCATGAAAGGAGAAACCCAAAGAAAAGAGAAAAAAAAGGTTGGCAGGAGCAGAACTTAGCAGTTCTTTAACAAAGTGAGAATGTCAGATTGGTTAAGAGAATGTTGCTATAAGATCTTTTATGTTTAAAGCTATGAAGCTACTAAAAAAGCCAATAAAGTGGGAATCTATAGGCCCCCAGAAGACTCATGGGGAAGAGACAAATTATTGTTAGTGGCAGCAAGGCAGATAGCAGAAAGATAGAGACCTGTTATTGATATTCAATCCAGTGCTGTTGGTGAATCAAGGGCCGTAACATGTGGAAAAGCATAAGACCTGAGACAGCCCAAAGAGGGATTTTACCAAAAACATATCAGTAATTTTCATGGTGAGGTACAGCTTACAAGACATGAAGCAACAAAAATACAAGTGTCACAAAATTAATAGCATGGCAGGCCAAAACCTAGGCTAGATGTTCCTATGAGACTAAGGCAGTGGGATGGGCTTGCAATCTTACAAGGTTTTCTAATATTCTTGTTGCTCCATCATTTTCACTCTTATCTGGAATTTGGACAGAGTACCAACAGGAAGCTTCATTGAAAGAAAGTGCCAAGATTTTATGTTGTCACAACAGAACAGTAAACAGAACAATTCACGATTTCTCTGGACTTAGAAATCGTGGGGTTTTGTTTTAGCCCATCCTGCTAATGACAAACCTGGCACATGGCAAGAAAACCTTCGAAAAGAATTCATTCTTTTATACAGAAAGATGAGAGAGAATTGGGTGAAACATAGTTTGGTAGCCACTAGGCACTAACCAACAGGAAGTTGTTGGGGAATTGTTCTCATGAGATTTTCCTCTCTTATTGTTTCTTTTTAAAGAAAGGAAACAAACCATCTTTAGTATTTAATACATCATGTTGGGTTTCTCCAAGGCTATCCACTGATCTAATCTTGGCTCTGAAGGATGGAAACAGGTAGCCCAGGCTATCAACCTTAACGTCTGAAAGCAAAATGTGAAGAATGACAAAGAACAGCTGCAAAAGATATTATCTAGTTGTTCCATTTCAAACATAAGCCGATTAACATTTGGGATACAGAACATTAAGCAGGTGATTGGCACTCGGCAAAACTTTGGAACACTTCTATAAGAATCGTGGTCGCCAAAAACAATCACATTTCTTAGAATTTGTCAATTAATCACAGTGAAGTTTCATAGTTAGAATCTCCGATAAAAACACAATATAAAAATCATTGAGGGTAGAGTAGCAGCAGGAAGTAACACTCTTCTTGCTTTGGTTTTACATCAAATGAATCAACTTATGATGCATGTTCTGCTTAAAAGAATAAATACCAGTGAAAATATCACTGCCTTTCATTCTGAAACTCTTCATTACTTGAGAACAAAGGTCAACAGATGAAAATTACATCCTGTTTCAAAACAATATAGACATGCTACAAATTTACACTCTTAACCGGCTGAATTTCTAACCTCTGCAAAAGATTACAAAAAATTCAGGATTTGTAAGCAATATAAACTTCAGCTTCTCCACATCCGGCAAAGTACCTATCTGATAGAAGCTCAACAATCATCAAGCGTTTGCACCTCTCCAGGCTTGCAAGTCAGAGATTGGTTTAAGTAGCAAATGGGAGTTCAAGTTTCAACCCCTTCCTTCGAATTCTTAGTTGCAGCTACTGGTTCTGCAGCAGCACTGGTTCCTCCTCCCTCCTTACCCTCTGATTTAGTGTTCTTTTTACTAATTTTACCAGCATACCTGGCAAAAGCAGCAGTCAGAGCTAATTTAACATTCATTTCAGGTTCCTTTTTCCTACGCTTGCTAGTATCTTCAGTATCCTTCTCTGCTTCTGTGACTTCACTTGCTGAGCATGGTTCAGCATCTTTGGGGACTGGAGTTTCTGGAACAGGAGGGTTGCTGGAGATTACACGCCTGAATGGTTCATGAAAAGTGTCATACAAGCGTTTTACCTGATCCATCAAGAATTCAGAAACAACATTAAACAGAACCCATAAAATAAAGACAATATTTTTATGCAGTAATTTGGGTCAACAAAAAGAACCACCAATAAAATGGCTTCTCAAAATATAAAAACTTAGAATACTTTTACCTTCCGCTCTCCTATGCCAGGACATCGAGCCAGATCTTCCATTGATGCATCCATGATACTAGACAGAGTCTGCCAAAACATGATAATCAGGACAGATAAACCAACAAATAAACTGACATTTTAGGCGTGAAACAACAGACGCACCCCGAATGTAGAACCAAGAGTGACCACATCAGTCTTGTTAACATGTCGAATGGTTGTAAGAGCATGATTTAGCTACAATCACAAGAAAACTAATCTCAGCTTAAAAATTGCATCATATTGCACCTTGCAAATTAGTCTAGAAAAAACTATAATGGTCTGTAAGCACATTTATTCAGAGACCAAGCTTCAAAAGAAGAGAAAAAATGATACCCTCGATAAATAGTCTGTATCCATTTGGCCTTGAATGAGGTCTGCAGGTTTGTTTTCATATACTTTTATGGTCTCCAAGTAGCGACCACATTCCTCCAAGCTACACCAAACAGTAGCAAGAAAGTTCTGTCAAGAAAACCATATTGAGGCAAGTTTTCTGTCCATCTTTTCCAATAAATTCATCTGTAACAGTATTCCAACTCAATAGAAAAAAGTGCATAGTAGAGACTAAATAAAAGGTTAAAAAAGTAAAGCAACTCATCTTTGGACATAAATGCTACAGAAAGGTTATAACAAGGGTAAAACTTGCAATGATTAGAAAATATTATATTGCCATTTAGATTCACAAACAAAGTTTAGCATTTATTCTTTCAAGCATCAAAAGATCTTCACCATACCTCCAACCACATAAGAGAGTACAATCATGAAGCAGAGCTGTTTTAGTAACTTCGAGCAAAGGCTTAACAACATCCTCCTGCAATAAAAGACAACTCTGAACAATAAGCAACAAGGTATCATGTTTTGTTTGTTTGGGGAAGATGGCTGGGGCAAGTAACAAATGAGTAATTGTTACTTTGTCACACAAAGGAATATTGTCAGCCTGCACCCTTTTTCTTTCTTTTGAATCCTTAAATTATAGGAAACAATCAAAAAGATATAAGAAGATCATCACAAGGAAGGGAGGTTTACCACATCAACATGACACAACACAACACGAAGCTTGAAGTTTTTCTGTAGTTCCCTGATACGGTAGTATAGATAGTCCGGATGCAGCAAATGATATCGAAGACTGCATCAAGGAATGAACTCAATGAGCTGGACTCATAAGAGCACATTTCAACAGAAGAAAGAAACTAATAGACCTACCAAACAAGTCATTGAACATAGAAGAATAGCCCAAAACATCTTTCACTAAAAAATATATAACTACTTTTGTCTCTTAAAACCTACAGTTTCTTTTTAAAAAAAAAAAATTGATAGAAAAACCTATAGTTTTTCAAATATACGAAGAGCTGGGAAGAGCATGGAATCTTATCTAAAATCTCCAACTGCTTTTTAATCATTTTTATTTTGATTTATTAAGTTGCTCCTCATTGACCTTTAGAAGGTTGCATAAAAATAGAAATCTTATGCATGATAACATACTACGATGCAAAGAACACTTGCTCTCCACCTTTAGAGGCACATAAAACTGTTATATTAATCTACTAAGCCATACGGTAGTAGTTCTAACCTTAAATAGAGAGCACATGAGTTCTGACCAAGCATGTAGTCACAAACAATATCCGCGAAAGCCCATCTCACATTCCTGATATGTTTGAGCAAGGGATTACCCTTCTGCATGAGGTGAAAATACATCCACGTTTAGGCTACTCAACTGAAGGTAGACGAAAAGAATCAAAGTTATATTTGTTAAAACGATTCACTATATCTGTCCTATGATACAGCTTTTGAATGAAGCTAGATTCTTCCTCAGGAGGTTTAGGATTATAAGTTGCTTTGCATTGCAGTTCAGGACAATCTTAACAGTTCACATATTTTTAATTTTAAATGTTGATAATGAATTGAAAACTTTAAAAAATAAAAGAAAGATCTATTACAATGAAACAGCGGAGACAGATAATAACAAAAACAAGTGAGAAATAACTTCTCCAAAGTAAACCATATTGCCTAGCAATGGTTTTCACACCAAAACAAGGGGATGGTTGATGATTAACTGACAATGAACTCATCAAAAGATAAACAAAAAAGAAAAAAGGTAAAACAAAACAATAGCTATTGATTTCAATGCCATACGCCAAAATTATATAGCATCACCTGCCTATGGCTAACGAGGATAGCATTGCGACTCTGAGCAGAATTCGATGATGATGAAGCAGCAGCAGGGAAAGCTGAGGCAGAGGCGGCAGCAGCAGCAGAAGAAGAAGGCACATTGGCTTCACCAACTGGTCTAAAATTAACCAAAGTTGCAAACAAAAATCATAAGCTATTTGAATTGAAAGAACAAACTTTTATGAATTGTATCTAGTTTCCTAATCAAGACAAACTCAAACAAACTAAACCAAAACAGAAAAACATGAACCTTTAATCAAAAGAATTAAATTAAAAAAAAAACCATTTCAATTCAAAAAACCAACTTTTATTCATGGAAGACTCAAATAAGTTAAACCAAACATGGCGAAAAAAAGGAAACTTGAACAAAAGGGTTCAACCAAAAATAAATAAATTAAAAACCCGGAAAAATACAGCCAATTTCGATTTAAAGAACAAAAGTTTTAAGCACAAACTCAACTAAACTAAACCAAAACTGAAACAAAAACGAGAGTGGAACTAGACCAAAGGGTTAAGTTAAAATCAAGAAACAAGAAATTACCTTGGGGTGGAAACGGCGGAGCTGCTGGGGGCAGGAGGAGCCGGAGGAGGAGAGTAAAACTCAGAGGATTTAATGAAATTGAAGGCTTGGGAAAACGATTGAGAAGGAGTGAAAAGAGAAGGTGGGGTTGATTTTATTTGAGAGCTTTCTATTACTTCTTTATATGATGGGATTCCTATTACTATTGGTGTTTTCCTCTTGTTTTGGTCTTCTTCTCTGTGATTTTCTCCTTCTTTCTCCATCTCCTTCTTCCACTTTCCCCTGCCGGATTGTTGATTCAAAGAGTAAGTGAAAAACAGAACACAGTTCTTTCAGGTTGCCAGGCCTTAAGTCCAACTCCTGTAAGTTTTCATAATCCAATTTGTTTGGGCTGGTCCGGAAAACAGATTGGAAGCTTGACCTGGCCCAAAAAGGAAGCTCTTCAATCCAAACCATATTTAGGGTACTTGACAATTTTGAATACAACATGTTAATATGATATGGTAAAATACAAAGTTAAGTGAGTTTGGATTTAATGTTATCGTATTTCGTGTCTTAAATGGGTTAAACTTGCTTAACCTGCATATGACATGTTTACTTAATTAATTGTGTTATCATGTCAATTCATATAGTATGACTCGTATAATTCGATTATGATATCGATTTAAAAAAATTAATTATGTTAACTGTGTTTAAATAGGATTATTATGTCGTAATCGTGCTGTGTTATATAAAATTTAACTCAATTTATCTAATAAACATATTAATCGTGTCGTATTGTATAATACATATAACAAATATATTTATATACGTACTTAGAATCTTAATCCGTTTAATTAATCATATTATATTTGTGTTTACCTATACAACTATTAATATTCTATCCAAACACGATATGTTAATGACACAACAACACGAATTATCGAATCCACCTTATCTAATTAAACACAATATAATTATGACACGACAACACGAATTATCATACCTGCTTGTAAATTAATGACCCAAGGTTTTCTTTAGGACAGGGTTGTGGCAAACAATAATAATAATAATTGGGGAGGCTGTATTTCCTATGTATATGAATGAAAAGAATTAAGCAGAACCTTCTCATTTATCATATGGAAAGGGTGGTTAAGTATATGTACAACTATGCATTAAAGTAACACAACTCTTTCTCATATAAAATTTACAATAACTTGGTGACACAACTACTCTCTAGTTAGCATTGAATGGTTACTTGTATGCATTTACTGTTTTTTAATGCCTTTAAATATCTTAATTTGACTTTTATATTTGTTCTTCGCTTTGAGGAAAAAGAAAAATTAATGCCTAGATATATAGTTATAGTGTCATTCAATGCATACAAGATGGGCAGACTTACAGTGGCTGAGAGTAGCTAGACAATTTTCAAGTAATTAAGTAAAAAAAATAAAAAATTAATTTTTTTTATAATTAGAGAAAAAAATTCGAATTTTACTTTTTAGATAGGAAATCATGCATCAATTAATGAGGTAATAAAAAATTAATGTTCCTTCAAGTTAACTTGTTATTTACCATGCTATATAACATCTGTTGTTGGTGTAGAAATTAATTAATTAAATTAAAAGTTGATTTTTGTTACCATTATTAGCATTTCGGTCAGTGGCAACAAAAAATCCTTGGTATAGTAAATGGGACAATTATTGTTTTAAACTTAAAGAATTTAGGTCAGTCTCTTTTCTTTTCTTTTTCTTTTTTTTTTCTACAAAATTATTAACCAAACTTGATTTAAAGATTAGGCACATTTCTTTTATTGCATTCTGGTCATGAAATGATATACCCAATGATGAATCGAAAGTGATGCCGAAAAGTGACGATCAATTTTTGTTCCGAATTGAATCAGTGACTCAATTCATGATTTTATATAATTGTTCTCATGTGAAACATGAATAACTTGAGATGGATCTTGTCAAAAGAAGGAAGCAATATCAAAGAATAATTCTTTCTGGCTGGACCTCTTGATATGTTGATTAAACCTGAAGAAAATATCATGATTTTCTACCTTCTGGTATACTACAAGCATTAAATAAACCAGCCATTCTCATATTGTTCCTCTTTGTATTGATTTATTAATTAATAGAAAGAGTTTTAGATTATATTTTTTTGGATTTTTCATTTTTTTTTTAAATAATTATATCAGATATATATACATGTGGATATAAATATAAAAGTTTTATCTTCCGAACATATAAAAAATAAAAAAAATTAAATACATGAATATAGACTTTTATAACTAAACGAAATCATCTCATGCAAACTTAATATTATTAGGTGGTTAGTTCCTAACTAGTTCCCAAGTTTAATTAAGCAGAAAAGGAGCTTGGGAAGGATCATATTCTTTGATATCACTACCAAATCTTTACAAGAATACCTCATTGCCTATAAGGCTTGCAAAAGCTAATTATCCACAGGAAACCTAGTTAACCTAGATGTTGAAGCACATAGACCAGCATTAGCCATGGGGTTTGGACAGTGGGGATGACCTCAAACCCCTCTATGCACAAGGCTTGGGGAGGTCATAAAGTCTTCCTAATTCTGATTTCTGGCAGACCCCCACCCAAAAAGAAAGAAAGAAAAGCATCACTTAGAAGCACAAAGCTCATGTTATTATTTGTTCAGTTACAATGACAATAGCTGTTGTCTGCTTGTGGTAGGCTTTTGTCATGTGCAAATCACTGCACCTATAGTCAAAGAGATGTGCTGGCTATGATCAAGCTCAAATGAAGGCCTCAGGTACCCAAAAGGGGAAAATGGGAAGTAACTATATCCAAATGGCTGTAAAATTTTTTTTGTCCTTATTCAGTACTTCATTTGGTATTTTTATTTTTAGGGTTTAAGATTCAAATTTGAATGTTTTACTTATAATATAAAATTAAGTAAATGACGTAAAATTATTTTTTAAAAAATATCAAACGAGACATAAAACGAAAGCAGATTTTTTGTTATGAAATACCCTAACTTGCAAGGTGAATTTCAGTGTGATTTGAAATATCCTGCCCAAGTTGTCAAAGCATGAGCAGGACTTGGGGAAGTTTCGGAATAGATTCCCTACACACTTGCAATGGTAAATTAATGGGTTTTTTTACCCCATTTTTCTCCAATTATGAAAGCAAACCAAAATTTCTTTTATCATTACCCAGTTTTCTAGAACTGAAAAATAAAAAATTTTCAAACCCTGATTAAATTAAAATTCAAAATCACAAAATATTTATAATTAAGTTTTAATTCAAAATTTAATATATAAACATTTGATTGATTGGTATATAATTTTTTTTATTTTTCTCTAATTCTGAAAAACAAAAACTTCCAATCCAACACTTGATCGTACAAATCTATAACATTTATTAAAATTATCCTTAAAAGGGTGTCTGCTTCTCCGGCAAATGATTTCTAAGACTTTGTCTCCTTCACAACATTTCCAATTTGGACTAGCAATCAAGACTTAATAATAAAAAAAAAAAATTGAAAAATTTGGTACAACTTGGGAAAGATAATTTTCTTATCGACTTGGTCTACCATGATTGTGATCTTACATACATTGGTCTTCAAAGCCAAATTAATATCATTAAATTAAAAAATTAATTTTTTTGCATTTTTAATTAAAAATATTACATATTTATATTATAAAAATTAAAATTTAATATAAAATATATGGATATCATATTTTTATCAAGACAAAAAATATATTCAAAAACAAAAAATTGATAGGAAAAACATTGCATAGACAATGTACATATCTACACAAAGCCGTGGCTTTTAAGTCGAAAAATTACTTATAAATATAAAAAAACTATTAAAATTGTTTAGGGAAATTAAAAAAAAAATTAATGAGCCATTAAACCGGAGGGCGGCTTGAGTCACCCACCGGTCCAACCGGCAAACTTGAGGAGGTTCCTTCGCCATCATTGGCCGCCACCTTTGGTGACTTCATGGAAGATGCTCTACTGAAAAACGGTGGTGTCATGCTAAACACCCACCGGTCCGACTTAACTCCCTGGTCCAACTTCTCCAGCCGCCTAAAAGACTTTCCCCTACTGCTCCCACCTTCTTCCCCGGTTCGGTACCCCTGCCGCGAACTCCTTTCCCTGGGCAACACCACCATGCTCAGTGCCCGGTTCAGCTCCCGTTTCATAAACTGCTTTCGGACCTCGGCCGGTAAACGCAAAGTGAAACGGTCGGTGTTCTCACCTGGCTGGACCAAAGAGTGTCCGGTGGAGTGAGACCGCGGGAAAAAGAGTTTCCGTGTACGGCTGGATCTTGATCCACGTGTGCGGTTCCTGTTTAAAGTTCGGTTCAAACTGATTACTTCAACCTCCGGAACAACTTGGGCCTCCACGTCGCAGTTCACATTATTGTTTCTTCTCCTTTCTTCTTCCGTTTCCGACTCACCGTCGTTCTGAGCCTCGAGGTCTAACTCGGCAGCGGTGTTATTCAGCTCGGTGGGTTGACTCACTGGATCACCTGGTTGAGGAGCGAGGTTTGCTCTACAGACGGGGCAAGTGGTATGAGAAGCCAACCAAGCGTCGATACATTCAGGGTGGAAAACGTGATCGCATTTGGGTATCAAACGCAGCGTTTCGTCATCTTCAAATTCATTCAAACAAACCGCGCACTCCAGAACCCCTTTCCCGATCTTATGAACCTTAACTTCGGAGTAAACCATGGTGGGGAAAGTCTCGATCACCGACGCTTCAAGCCCGCGCGTCCCGCGTCGCGAACGGCCTGCTCCTACAGCTACAGGGCGGACGCTGTTGGCGTTGGAATCGGAGCAGTTCCGGATGTAAATCGAGAAAAGACCCATAAAGAACAGAGCAGCTATCAAAACGACGACGATTATGGCCATGGAAGGGCTGAAACGCGCGTAGGAGTAACGCTCGTCGCTCTGATTGATCGGTTGGGCGGCGGAGGGAGGCGGTGAAAGGAGTACGAAGAGGAAGAAGACGAGAAGAGAAACGATTCCATTTTTGGCGGTGCACGACATGGTAGGATGAGAAGCATTTGGATGAATGAGAGTCTGAGAAGAAAGAAGGGAGAGAGGGTTTTAAATGAGAGAGAGACAGGGGAAGGAGAAAGCGTACAGAGGGGGGTGGGGTCCATGGCTGGAGTTAGCATCTTTGGTGTTTCTTCGATGAATGTTGGCGGGTCAGCCATGGTGAGCCACATGGGAAGGGTGGGTGTAAGTCATTTGTCAAGGAAGGTTCCAAAGAAAGGCGATTTTGTACAATTTGTGAGGTAGAAATGAGCTCTACGATAACAATAATAATGGCGAAGGTAT